CTTTGTAATAATATTATACATCTTTGTATGTATTTGACTTTGATCAATTGTAGCCTTGTATATTGCTATTGTTTTGCAATAATACTTGTTTCAAATGCTACTAAGTTTCATGTTAGGCTTATACTATAATGTTAGTACTGAGATACATTAGTTGAAGATATTTCAGACCTTAAAAATAAGGTGATGATTACTATAACATCAAATGAGAATGTTGATATATTCGAAAATACTATGCAAGTTAACTTTTCACACTTAGAAAGTATTTGTAGAAATTATATTTTACCAAACTAATTAATCATAAAATGATGCATAGTTAACAATAGGAAAAAGGGTTTGGTATATTAAAAAAGTGCTTAATTTAATGATTATAACAAATAGATTAGATAAGCTTTATAAAATCCATAAAAAACTTATTAAAGAAATGGAGATAGAACTTGAAAATCAAGAGGATCATGCTACAAAAAATAATAAATTTAAAGAGCTTGTTCGTACTATAAATAATTTAATTAGTATTAAAATAAAAGGTAGATCGAGTAAGAGAATTAGGGCTTTTAATAATATAGCAAATACAGTATATTAAATAACAAAAAAAAAAAACATAAAATATTACGAATTAATCAAGATCAAAGTAATAATATAGAGTCTAGTATTCTTAATTTAAGTATATATAGTATATACATATATATATATATACTTATTTTGGATATTATATAATTTGATATAACTTATTTTTCAATAATCATTTCTTTTACAAAATATTTACTTTATATCATGCAGATGATATTTTAGTTTTTATTAATTGAATGTGTATGTCATGCCTCAGATTAAAACTTGCGTCAGATTAAAACCGGCCTAAATTAGAGTTAGGGTTAGGGTAAGTATTGGGATTTAGTTAGGCCGATTTTGCAGATCATTTTAATGCTGGCCTAATGGTTTTAATCTGACGCAAGTATCGATCTGAGACACAACATATATATTGTTAATAAATTATCACTATATATGATATAAGTAAATAAATATAGATAAATAACTATTGTGGCATAAGTAAGCAAAATATAAAAATGTTTGAATACTTATAATTTATGAAATTGTAGAATTTAACATTGAAATAGAATCTATAAATGATACAAAAGAAGATAGTACAAGCAAAAAAAAATATAGAAATTGTAGATTGAGTAGCTATAATATATAAACATATTCTAATATTATAAAATATAATAATATTAAAACAGAGTCTGTAAATAATATACCAAAAGCTAGTACAAGCAAGAAAAAATATAGCAATTGCAGTTTAAAAGATCATAATGCATATATATATCCAGATTTCATAGAATATTCTGCTATTGATATAAATGAAATTGACGATATAAACAAGAAAAAATATAGAATTTGTGGTTTAAGTAGCTATAATACATAAACTTGTTCAGG